TAATCTAACTAAATTTATAAGAGTGTTTTTTTTTTTAAAGCCATTTTCTAGCCAAGCTAAGCCATATTGGAGTGAGTTGAAGTGATTTCATCGTTGCTGGGTTTACAGAGTTAGTCAGCTGCCACGTATGTTGATGATTTTCCACTTTTATCTCTCTAAAACTCATTCACTCACTTACTTTCTCTCTCTATATTTATATTCTTCATTACTTTCACACTTTTCTCTCTCTTCTATAAGAGAATCTTCGGTGGGACGAGCGCACCACGTGAGACGCCACCTTGGTGGGTGACCCACACACCTCGGGGTGTATAGTGGGCCACCCATCGAGGTGGCTCAACCTGCCTTATTGATGTTTTTCTCCTTTTCTTCACATCCATATTCTTTCTCTCTATATATATGACTGCTTATTCTTAAAGACGTCTTTCTTAATTTTCTAAGGGTATGGGACGTTATGAATAATACTGAAAGATTCTTCTTTTTTCAAGATCAGACTCATCTTTTTAAAGATACAAGGAAATCGATTCTTTAATGACCTCTCGCAGCTGGTGGTAATGAAGTAAACATTAGCGAATCAAATGTAATTTTGCATATTCTTTCCTCTTTTTTTTTTTTTTTTTTTTTTTTCCCTTTTTTTTTTTTTTTTTTTTTTTTTTTTTTTTTTTTTTTGGGATTACTCAGAATTATTTTGGTTTTTATGGGCTATGTTTAGGGAATTTTTTAATAATGTTTTAGTCATAGAAATTGCTTTATTTTTTCTATTGTTTTCATCATTAATCATGGGTTTCGGTTTTTGTTTCTTTTTCCTTATTTTTTCTACCTCTTTATTTGACTAACTTAGTACTGATTTAGCTTACTTTAATAAGCCGATTTTATGCTTGTCGTTTGGAATTTTTAGGTTGTTTCTCGATTTTTATCATTTACTTTCCTTTGTTGTGTATGCATGATTTTTCCATAATTTTCCTTTAATGGATCAAAAAACTATTTCAAGGTAAATTTAAGTATATTCTAAGTTAGCCCAAAATGGTATTGTTGCCAAATTTTACAAATAAAAAATTTATTTAGTTTTAAATTTACTTATTTATTTATAGTTAAAGTTCTTTAAGCATAGCTAAACATCACCACCTTTCTGAAACGAGAAGTCGCTCATTATGATCCAACAGCCAGCAAATTGTAAGTTGTAACTGACGAGTTTCACTATATAATTTGTAAAAGGGAAAATTACAAAATCTCTCTCCCTCTCTTTCTTTTCTCCCAAGTGATACAGAAAGAGGAAATGATAGACACTCTAAATTTTTTTTCCAATTTATGGTGCAATTAACCGTATTAACACTTTCTCAATTACGCTAATGTTGGGATTGACACTTAATAATTCTCTTCCTAACAAATTTTATTGAGTTCCCACCTGTCAATTCTGCAATCTTATTCCCCAAAAAATTCACTATTAACAAACTTTTCTTCAAAATCCACAATCCCAGACCCATTTGGGGATCTGTTTAAAGTATACAAGAAGTGGGATTCTCAAGTGAGTTGTGATCGATTCAAAGAAAAACACAAGGACATTTTGGGAAATTGGTCAATATCCTTGCAACATTTTGACGGTGAATTTCAACATGGTGAGTTGAAGATGAATTATGTAAGTGCTTTGATCAAACTTTGGACTGGGATTCCTGGTAATATGGATTTACTTGAATAATGAATAAGTTACACAGTGCATAGTTCAATGACCATTTAGATATATTTTTAAGTTTAGTTATAAAGTAGTAATATTGGCAAAGTTTTTTTTACCATTGAGATACAATTTTTTATTTCAATTATTAAAATAATAATACTTGACAAAGTTAAGTTACCATTCAAATAATTAACTTGACTAGTAAACTCCACCTCAATGTGTTTTATACAAACATGGAACATCAGATTATGGGACTGTAGAAGGAGAGAAACTTTTCTAATCTAATCTAACTAAATTTATAAGAGTGTTTTTTTTTTAAGCCATTTTCTAGCCAAGCTGAGCCATATTGGAGTGAGTTGAAGTGATTTCATCATTGCTGGGTTTACAGAGTTAGTCAGCTGCCACGTATGTTGATGATTTTCCACTTTTATCTCTCTAAAACTCATTCACTCACTTACTTTCTCTCTCTATATTTATATTCTTCATTACTTTCACACTTTTCTCTCTCTCTTCTATAAGAGAATCTTCGGTGGGGCGGGCGCACCACGTGAGACGCCACCTTGGTGGGTGACCCACACACCTCGGGGTGTATAGTGGGCCACCCATCGAGGTGGCTCAACCTGTTGCTGGGTTTGACTGCCACGTATGTTGATGATTTTCCACTTTATCTCTCTAGAACTCATTCACTCGCTCACTCACTTTCTATCTCTATATCTATATTTTGCATCACTTTCACACTTTTCTCTCTCTCTTCTTCACACTCACATTCTTTCTCTCTATATATATGACTGCATATTCTTAAACCAGTCTTTCTTTATTTTCTAAGGGTATAGGATGTTATGAATAATATTGAAAGATTCATCTAACTCATCTTTTTAAAGATACAAGGAAATCAATTCTTTAACAACCTCTCGTGGCTGGTGGTAATGAAGTAAACGTTAGCGAATCAAATGTAATTTTGCATATCCTTTTTTTTTTTTTTTGGGATTACTCAGAATTATTTTGGTTTTCATGGGCTATATTTAGGGATTTTTTTAATAAGTTTTAGTCATAGAAATTGCTTTATTTTTTCTATTGTTTTCATCATCAATCATGGGTTTCAATTTTTGTTTCTTTCTGCTTATTTTTTACTAACTTAGTACTGATTTAGCTAACTTTAATAAGCTGATTTTATGCTTGTCGTTTGAAATTTTTAGGTTGTTTCTCGATCTTTATCATTTACTTTCTTCTGTAGTGTATGCATGATTTTTCCATAAATTTCCTTTAGGGCAATTTACAAAAATACCCTTAAAATCAACAACCTTTTGAAAAATCATATGAAAATTTTTTGAAAGTAAAAAATACTGCATAAAATTAAAAAGTTAACACAATGTCACTTTTTATAAAAAAATGTGTAACTTTTTCTTTTTAAAAATGACACAATGTCACTTTTAAAAATTAGTATCACTTTTTTTATTAACAAATTACATACAATGTCACTTTTATTAAAAAATGATGTTTGTCACTAAAAAAGTGATGAAAATTTCAAAAAGACGACTGAAAAAAGTGATAAAACACAAAAAAAAAAGTGATAAAAATTCAAAAAAATTGACAAATGCTAAAAAAAAGTAAAAAAAAAAATTCAAAAACGTGACAAACACTTAAAAAATGACAAAATTCAAAAAAAAAAAAAGTGAGTTGTGATCGATTCAAAGAAAAACACAAGGACATTTTGGGAAATTGGTCAATATCCTTGCAACATTTTGACGGTGAATTTCAACATGGTGAGTTGAAGATGAATTATGTAAGTGCTTTGATCAAACTTTGGACTGGGATTCCTGGTAATATGGATTATTTGTACAAGATGTGAGTTCAGTTGCTTGTGGACTAATCCTTCTTTCTTACTGATAAACGTGATGCCCTTCTTGTCATGTGTTTGGTCATGCTTAAAAGTTGGTTCATAAAAGCAACTAAAAGAGCCAAATTTAAGCATGGGCAAACATTACATTAGCCAATTAGCTCAATTACAATACGTTTGTTAATGTGGATTAAAATTGATAGTTTTAAGGAAGATTACAAAATGTTAAAATTCTGCACATTATTTGTCGAGTGGAGATTTTCTTTTGAGCTAACTTATGATTTCTTCATACGCTGGAAGAAAATTGAAGTAGATGAATGTCATGCCAATAGTTAATTTCATAGCTAAATTATGCGGAGATTCCATACAATTAATTTGTTCTTCCATTCAGATTGAAGACCTTAAACGCTTTTTCAAACTAGGCAATCGGACCCCAAGTTACCCAAAGAATACATTTAAAATGCATTGAAGTCAAAGTTGGTACAAATCTAAAGTATACTGATTAAGATCTGTTTATATAATCCAATGTAATCTTCATTCGAAGCAGGTTTCATTTTCCCCTAAAATCCCACAAAACCAAAATTCAACATTTTTACTTACACTACATTACTTACCACATGTGCAACACACATGCATTCACCAGTATTATTTAATGCCAAAATAATGGACGAAATGCTGAAGCCATGTGATTTCAGCTGCAACAATTGCCAAGACACGACACTTAGTCTCAATACTCGAGAGACTGAAGATTCTTTCTTTGATGATCGATCAATGCAATTTAAACTGAGAAATATACAAAAAACAAGTTGCACTTCTTGTAACGATTGGATCTTGTGTCTTATTTGTATCACGAAGGTTGAGATTTGTGATAAATATTGTATATCATATGTGAGTAACGTTGAAATATTGTAGAATTTGTTTGACATTATAAAGATCCTTTATTGAATTTTGAAATTGTTGGCAAACTAAGTTAATGGTATGGACGAAATTAGATATCATGATGTTTAATAGTGAAGGGACCAATATAATTGTCGATATATGTGATCTTGTGTGTGAGGTTGGAGAACTAATTTTCCTTAACAAATAATTCGTTGATCTTCAACCTCACACACAATGTGGATATATACAAGCATAAATTCTTGATCCTTCACAAAGAACATCTTGGAGAATTGCAATTTTAAATGATTCAAAGTGATTTAAGAAAAAGTACTATCTAATTTTATTTTTATTTTTAATAATTAGAACTATAGTTAGAACATACCCCACAAATATATCCTATTCCAAAAACGGATTTCATAATAAATAATTAATCTATCCGACACACGTTTTTGATATATCCTTTTCAAAACACTACAATATTGACAACTTAAATCGCTGTCATGATCAAAGAAACGGGAATAACTAAGCCATATATAATAAGAAAAAATTATAAATAACTGTAACCACAATAATCTGCTAACCATTCACAACCACCACCTTCGTTCTCCCATTCCCTCTCACAAGGAAAAAAAATTAAAAAATCTCACTATATATGTACATTTCCAGATTCTAGAATCATTAGTTGATTGGATAGGATTGGATTTTGTTGACAAAGGAGATCAATATATGTATGTAATTGAATTTGTAGCTGTCGCATGAATTTCTCACTCGAAAATGGCCTCTGTAGCTCCACTTTCTTCAGGTCATTTACCGGTTCGCTACCCTCAATTTCAGCTTATTTTAACGGGGATTGAACCGTCACAGTCAAAATGTGAGTTTTCTGGAAAATCTTTGCTGATGCAAAGGAGTGAGGATTTCCTGCGCTCGATTCCAGTGAAGAAAGGTGCAATTAAGTGTTTTTCAGAATCCAAGGAGAGGGAGAGTGTGATGGAAGTATTAAATAAGGATGGAGGTGATGTAGTCCGTGATGACGTTTCTGATGGGGAGGTGGCTAGTCAGGTGTTCTCTAACAGATCTGTTGGTTTGGTGAGGAGTCCGATCTCGGATTCTGTCCCTGGGGATTCGTTGAATCTTGGAATTCGTAAACCTGTCTATGAGGTAATTTTCCTGAAGTGCTTGTTTCTTAATTTAATTTTTTTATTTCTGATAATTGATTGTCTCAAATCTATATGAAAATAACTTGTGGTGATGGAATGGAAAATTTGTAATTGCTGTTCTTTTTAATTTGGTAATATTTGGAGTTGGAAATGTTACATTGCATGTTATTTTATTTGGTAATATAAAAATCAACTTAGCAAACAAGCAAGGTATTTAGAATCAAGCAGAGCCGGCCCTAAGATTTTGAGTACCCTGTGCGAGATTTTAAAATGGTGCCCTCTTCAAATAACTAAAACATATATTAAAAAAATACTTTAATAATATTATTTCATTGCAAAAATATTATATTTAAATATTTTATTATTTTTTAACATACATAAACAAGAAAAACATAAATAAATCTCAAAAGCATCTCTCGAACTTTATCAAAATTCATATGTCATCAACAAAGAACTATCCAAGCCATTACCTTCTTCTTGCAATTCCATATAAGCAAACACTGAAAAAAATATATAAATCAAGTCAAGTGTAAAGCTTGGAATGCTACAAATTATGTAAAAATATTTTTTCTCGCATTTTTAAAAGCAAACTCACAAATTAAACTTTCGTAATCAATATTTTCTAAAAAATCTTGCTCAATAGATATCAAAACTAATCCATTCAATTGTTCTTGTAATATGGTTGATCGCAAATGAGATTTTAATAACTTCAATTTTGAAAAACTTTTTTCAACAGATGCAACAGTAATAGGAATTAAATCGATCTTGATTCTTCAAAAACATGTGTATCACCAATCAAACGAAAAGAGAATCAAAGGGTAGTGAAAATTTAATGAATCAATTTCATTAGCAAATTTCACTCCACAGTTAATTGATTTGCTTATTAAATTAGTAAATATAAATTATGAATAATGAACCCATTTTAATAGTTAATTGATTTTACTTAACAATAAATCTCTTCACAATTAATTGATTTCACTTATTAAATTAAGAATTATAAATTATGAACGGTGAATCCATCTTCAGAACATTGAAAAATATTAAAAAAGAATTTATATTTTTTCGAATATTCAGAGAAATTATTGAAGAAAAAATATGTTAAGGAAACAAAAACTCACTTGTAAGCGTTCAACTTCTTCAGAGGAAAATTATGCCGTGCTTCCTCAATCCTTAGTCCCCACGTTTAGGCAAAGCGAAGTCAAATTTTAACAAGTTCTTGCAAAGAGAATTCAAATCAATGAAATTATGGAACGAGATTGATGAAAAGATAACAAAGAAAAGATAACAGGTATTTCAAATTTTCAACGAGGGTTTAATGAAAAATATGAATCGTCAATCGTCGCTTAAGGAAAAGATAGAATTTTTAGGAGCCAGATTAAAGGTGATTGGAGAAAAAGACGGTTGGTTTCTCTCTTCTCTGCCTCCATTATCTTTGAGACAATTGGAAAAGACGGTTAGTTTCTTTAATTCATTTCTCCAAAAAGACAATTGAAAAAGGCGGTTGCTCAATTTTTCTTTCTTCTCTCAATTCTCTGGCCGACCTGATCTCTTTTCGAATTTTTTCTTTTCCCTCACATCATATACAGTAGGAATATTATTTAAGAATATTATATTCAAGGAAATTATAATTAGTTAATCATATTATTCTTAATTTTAATATCTCATGCATAATAATAAAAATTTTATATTTTAAAATTAATATATATTTGAAATATTTAATTATAAATAAATATACAACTATAAAAAAAAAATTTGTTGCCCCTACAATTTTGAGGCCCTATGCGGTCGCTCAACTCGCCCGCCTTCAGAGCCGCCTCTGGAATCAGGAAGAACTATAGGTCAGTGCATCCACATCCATAAGAGTTCAATATGATGTCAAAAAAATTGAAATGAAATTGATTGCCTTAGAAGTAGAATAAATTCCACTGATTTATAGGTTCAGAATTGTCACGTCTCTTCTGTGTCAAGTGCATGTTCAGAGAGATTTCAGATTGAATGTATCAAATTATTTCTCACCAAAATTTTGAAGGGAAGCCACAAAACTCTGGCTCTCTATTTATGAATTTTTCAATTCATTTCACAAAATGAAACAATGTTGCTGGTGATTCTCTGTGTTAGAAGTGCAGCCACTATTTTTAGTAGTTTAATAATTTGTAATTGCTTAGTCCTAGAAATCAAAGAATGATGGAATTTCAAGCCAAGAATTTATTGTGATTCCAACAGATATTGCAAGGCAGAGCTTGTGTTGGTCTTATCCTTCCATTGGTCCATTTTAGTCATATAAACTAATAAATGAAGCAGTTGAATTCTTTCTAGTTAATATTAAGCTTAATTCATGGCTCACTTGTTCATGTTTATGTCCATTCACTGTTCCCCATCAACAGGTTGTGGAAGTAAGGTCAGATGGGAATGTATCTACCAGAAAAAATAATGAGACGACACTTCTTGAAGTCCAGCGGTGAGTAATCAGTTTGTGATGCACTGAGCTCAGTTCACTTTTTTGGAGTTGGAAAATATCATTAAAGTTTAGATCTGTAGTGGCTTATATGTCTACATCTCACATTAATTTGTTGTTTGGTAAAGTAATAATCAGTTGATTCTCATCTCTGAAATTGTACTGCAATTTTTGAATTTAGCAGACGTAAGCAATTTATCTTCCTTCTTTATTTGAGAATGGTTATACATTTTATAAACTTTTTCTTTCCTGGTCAATTAGTCTATATGAATCAGTGATGTCAATGAACTTCAATCAAGTTTGTTAATTCTTCCTCCTTATTGCTTCTATTATTGTTCTCTGGACACGATATTTCTTTTTTGCAACAGGTCTCCATCCTTGAGATATTAGAATTGTTGATCCATCATTGTGGTTAACCAACTCAATGCCTTCTTTGCTGGTACCGATAATGAATTGCTTTCTGCTACAGTCTACATTGTGCAATTATTTAACAATATGGTTGTGTGTATAGCTAATCTTGATTGGTTTATACAGCCACATATTGCCTTTTTTTCATAGTCGTGTAACAATATTGCAATTGCATCAATGATCACTATCTTTTGGCTTCTTGTTCTTATAGACAAAATTAAAAAGAGAAAGGATAGCTTCCATAGAATTTCAAATCCACGAAATTTAGTTAGAATGGAACTTCTGCTTAAAAAAATAAGGTTTTGCTGCTTGGCAATATGATCAGGAGAAGTTCTATGACTCAAAATTTTATGTAGAAATAAGTTTAAAAACTGGAAAGTAATAACGCTTCTTGGAGTTGGTTGCAATTGTATCTCTGTGCCTTTTCCTGCAAACTGGTCAAAGTTGGCACTGTATGATTGTTCCTTCCACCTCAACAGTACTTTCACACTATATTATCAGAAAACTTAAAACTTACAATGTAGAATTATACTATATTCACTGGTTCAAATTGATTTACGTTTGTTTTTTTTTCTATATTTTATCAAGGTAAGAAAGCATGCAATTTTGCTGAACTTGGGCTCCTTGCAAGCGATAGCAATGCAAGAAAATGTTTATATATTCAACTATAATCGGTATCTCTTTCCAGATCAATAGTCTTGATATTTTTGTTTGAGATTTTACTGTATTTAATTGATGTTTGACATAGTTTATCATCAATTTAATATATGTTTCTTGGTTATCAATAGTAAAGGTGGAAAAGCTTTTATTGATGCATTGTTGCCCCGATTGAATCCAAAGAACATGAATGGAGGACCATCAACGCCATTTGTCCTTGAGGTTAGTTTTCTGCTAGTAATTTTTTCTACTTCAATCACTCAACTTAACAATTATTGGCTGGGGGCTGCATTGTTATTTGAGACCAAACTCTCCCAGATTTCAAATGATTTTGGCATTAAGATAGTGGATTTTCACGAAGTCCATGAATGCCTAGATGAGAAAATTACAGTATACTTTCAAGTTTCACGGGATTAAAATTGTAAAAAATAAGCTTTAAGCAAGGACCTAATATAATTATTGTCCTATAGGGAACTGCCAATTGCCATATAATAAAAAGGAGACTTTCAAATGTTAAATAATGGTATTGGGTGTTTTCTTCTTTTTCCCTTTCTTTTTAGGTGTCTCGTTTGTTAAACAAGACTTCTTTTATTATGCAATGTTCTGAAAAGACTATGAAAAGACTATAAAATAGTGTGAAAACTACCCTTAATAAAGAAACAAAATAGCAATTATATCTAACAATCTTTTGCCTCATCAGTAACTTTCTTTTTCAAATTTCATTTCAAGATAAAGTGGACACTATTCTTGTACATATTTGCTGCTAGTCTGAGCATTCTAGTAGTTATAGTGCATTTTATCCATCATCAAATCTGTAGTCAATTCATCTATAGCAATATTTTCATATTTCAATCACCGTGCTTAATGTTGACTATCCATAATTGTAAAGAAGGAGAAATATCTGCTTAAAAGTTTCCTCCATCCTAGCCTCATATCTTTATTTGTGAATAAAATTTTTACTTATTGTAAAACAATGAAGAGTTGCTGTTATTTTTGTTTGCGCTGGAAACTAATGTCACCTTCTGTAGAAACTATCATTTCAAGTCCTTTAGCTGTGTTTTTTTAATCACTGCATTGTTCATCCATACAGTGAACCTGAAATGTTGATTGTTTAAAAAATCTGACCCACGTCCAATGCGAAATTATTAGGTGGTTGAGGCAGCACTACATTCAAGGATACATCGTTTGGAGCAGAGATTATGGGATTTAGAACCATGTGTGAGTACGGGAACGTAGTGAGTTAACATTTTCTAGTCTTTATTTCCCTGCCAGTTGTCAAGTGTCTTTGGTAGGGGTATCTAGGGTCTTCCCACTTCTCCCTAAATTTTTTGTACTGAGTAGAAAGGTGAGAACCATGAGAGCTCAATTGATTCAATTGCTAATTCTTCTCTAAAAATATTCCCTTTTTTAATTCTATAATACATTTTTGTAATAACAAAACAGAAACAGCTATTTGCATTGTGTCGAAGAATACTACGTGGATCTCTCTATATATGACAGTAGTATCTAATTTCCTGGATAAAATGCAGTTTTCAATCCTATATTAACATCTTTCAATAGGAGACACCTTTTTTGTCCAATCAACAGTTTTAAAAAACAGTATTATTTATACTTTTGATAATGGTAACATATACATAAAAAGAGAAATGGACAGTTTGCTACTTCAGGAACATGCATAACTTAAAGAATTTCTCACCATCACAAAAAATCAACCAAAATTTTGAAGAAATAATTAATGAAAGTCATGTTTTTGGCGTATATCTTACTCCTGTTATAAAGAAAACACTAAGAACTTAATTTAGGCTTTTAGAACATTCTATCTTTCTTCTATCATTATCAAGAACTGAATGAGCTACCATTTGCTTCAGGTGCAAGCTTTACTTGAGGTTCTGCCATACAGATTGGTAGGTGACATATTGGAGGAACTTCGAATTAGCAAGCAGAGATTGGTATACAGTTTCCCTCTGATTTGGTAACATATCCTCCATCGAAATTATTGACGTATAATAAACATGTATACTTCTTATAAAGGTTGAATTGGGCTCACGAGCGGGGGCAACCAAACAAATGTTGCTTGATATTCTTGAGGACACACATGAAATACGACGTGTTTGTATTATGGGAAGAAACTATACCCTTCAGAAAAATGATGAGATGGAATGCTATGTTCCCCTAAAAAAGCAGATTGCTGAGGGTAAGTCATGTAAGGTTGATTCATCATCATAGAAAATCAAGTTAGAAGAATGAGTTAAATTGGATAAATATCCAGACTTTCTATTATTATTATATATATAGAAAGGATTCTTTTCCTGACATAGTTGGAAGTTCCTATAACTTCCAAAATTCATGGATTTTGGAAAAGGGGGAAGGCACTTTTTCAATATTCTTTGATTTCAAAGGGACATTATCAATAACATATTGTCAATTTGTCAATCATTCCTGAGTGTTTCTTCTGCAAAGGAGGAAGAAGAAATTGAAATGCTTTTAGAAAACTATCTCCAAAGGTAGTTCATGGCATCCTTCAATTCTATGCAGAGTAAATAGGGTGGGCGCTGGCTACGTTTGCATTGTGTGATATCATTTATTTCTACTTTTAACAGAAATAATGAGGGAAGCATCACTTGCTGCAGTTCAGACATCTGCAACCCTTAACCCATAAATATTTTCCTAACCGTGATATTATATAAATAACTATTAGAGAATTAAAGATTTCGTGAAAGAAGTGTGTGTTTTGAGTGTAATTTTGCTACTGTTGTTACTCAATAAAAAAATGGGACAGTATGAGGTAATGTTTTCTTTTAATACAATAAATAAGCCATTTTTATTTCTGATCCTCATTTTGTTAATTGACCTCAGATATCTTCAGCTAAGCTTGTTGTAGTTTCTGAACATAGTTTAAAAAAATTTGATTTATTGAAGCTGTTCACAGTCTTTTAATTTTTTTAGTAAAAGCTAGGCTTTATGAAGTTTTATTCTTTTTCATTTGTGGTCATTGTTAGATAAGAACAGCATGGAGCTACTAAAAATTTTGGTCTATGTATTCTTTATCCCAGTTAACTATCCACTCACTAATGTCTTGAAACTGCAGGTGTGAATCTTGTCATGGTCAGGCAGAGAGGCTTCTTGATTCAGCGAAAGAAATGGAAGATTCCATTGCAGTCAACCTTAGGTTAATTGCCAACCCTTCTCTTTTTCCATCTATTTTTTAATCTACAAACTGAATTTTAAACGAAAACATTTGTGCTACATGAAGCAATGGCAGCCTTCTGGTCAGCTGTCCCAATATGCCTTTCATCATGCTACAATGATTAAGTTGTTCACTCAAGTTATAATCTCTTATCAGAGTACAAGAAAAAAAAAATATTTAAGTTGTTAACATTTCTTTAAATTTATCTAACACTAGAAATAAAAAACAAGGTAGTACATATAAGTCTGTTAATTTTGCAAATATACTTGGAACTTAATGGAGGATTTGTCCCTTTTTGTGAAATTTGTGTTTAAAATATGAAATATTTTAGATTATTGAGGGTAGCATTTAATCAAAAATATCAGTGAACTTCATTTGTCATAGGAGTTATCTACTAGTACACTAGTCATTTATCTTGCTATGATCATTGTCAAGCAATATATTTTCTTGGTTCATTGGTTCATTCCTAACAACTATTTTTATTCAAAACTTAGGGATCTTTCCATCATTTACTGATGGACTTTTCTCTTATAAGTTCCTGGAGGCTTGAGGTAAGCAGAGTGGAACTTCTTCTTCAGTTTGGGACTTTTTGTATTGCAGTTAGTGCTCCAGTTGCAGGTAACGAGCTCTCTATGAGTAAACTAAAATGGTCATTACTTGAATGATTAGCTGCTTTCTTTTGGTTAAATTTCATGTACATGTACTATTAGGATACTTGACATGTCTGCAACTCGTTACTTTAAGAAAAATGTCATAGCATACAGAATGATGTAATTTTCTAATTAACATGACTCCTTAGGCCTAAGTTTGAGGCCCTCCATAGCTCCACTCTCAAGTGGGTTCTACAATTTGACACTATGCCGAGACTTTAAATATTAGGCACGATATTAGTGGCAGTAGACCCGATATAAGTATATGGTGTCTCTCTCTGGTCTTTCGTTCGATATCTTTTACCCACTTAACCTTCCTACACAATTACAAATTTTTCCTATAAGTAACTAATTTTTTCCTTACCTTTTTCACATCTCTTTTTAATTTTAAGTATATGATTTTATCATATATTTTACTAAATCTTTGATATCTTGCATTAAAATCATTTATTAATAGAACATTACTGAGTATATGTACTGATGAACCTTGTCAATTTATAGGTTATCTTTGAATTTTTTGCCTCTTAGAGGCCCTGCTAGACTGGCAAAGAAGTTGACTCTAGCTTCTTTGTGGTCGTTTAGAGCAGTTAAGAAGAACGTAAGAGGAAAAATTATGAAGTAAACAGTTACATTTGATAATACATTTTGCTCGTTTTACAACATCCAAGGTTAACTCTTAATTCTGTTTATTTCGTTCTGCCTCAAATCTATTTTGTACTTTCACAATTTTTGTAGTGTCACTACAACATTATGGCTTAATCAAATTTGAGAAGTGAGCAATGGTAATCAATCAAATTACAAACTGAGATTATTCCAATGTTTGATTATGCCATTCTAATGGAAATTGAACATCAATATTCCTCAAACCTTGAATCATATAATGTCATCCCCATGCATATGGAAGCCACTTGGGCTCATATAAACATTGGCTACAGTTATATTTGGCATGAACTTGAAGTCCTACCTTGAGGAGCGTGTGGTATGTCCTTTGGGTCTATTTATATGCCAATGTTTCTTTTCCTAATATTTGGCTTATGTTTGCTTTCTAATTATTCACTTCGTCACAGTTTGGCTCTGCAGTTTGCATTTTGGATAACTACTGCAGGAATTATTGTTGGTATAGTAGTTGTATTTTTTATATTGTATTCATACCTCAGGAAAAGGAAAATACTATAAACACGAGAGAAAGAGTAAGCTAGACCTTCTTATTCATCTTGTTCTACTATGAATATTTTCACCCTCATGGGGTGGTCGAGTTGGTGAAGTAGGTGAGTGCAGAGGCTTTTGGTCACGAGTTCGATTTCCCTACTAACACTTTCTCTATCGAGTCTGTCGCACAGAGCTTGCCTAGTGCGGTTTACCTAGCTGACATAATTTACAGGTTATTGCATCAACTTGAGGGTTTATTCAGTGCGCACTCGAAGAGTAGCGGCTGTAAGTTCCCACAGATGGTTATGCACACGGCAATGCCGTTGTTTTTATAGGGAACAATGAAGACTGCTAAGCAAGGAGAAACGGAGAGAGAAATCAACTAAAGATCAACTATGTTTCTATATCTCTATCACAAGTCGATGGCTCCTTGCTTCACACGGACCAAATTCAGCAACCAACACACCCCTTTTCGCATACAACATTTTCTGTGCTATAATTGTATTGAGCTACTAGGCTATGTACGTTGTGGAGAGCTTCCACTACAAGAGTTGAAGTAGGCGTTCCTTTATTCGTCTCCATCCAAATTTTACAGTTATTTGGAAGTGAGGTCATAGTCCCCTATCTACTTATTTAAGTTGCTCGTGCAATGAGTGTAGATGTTAGCTTTTGAAATAGTTTAGGCGAAGTTGAGTTTGTTGTCTGGACTCGAATTGCAATTTACCACCATTACGTATTCAATGTTCTTGTTTTGTACGTGCTTACAATTAATATGCTAATAAGTCATTCACTGTTATTTTGAATCTAGTGCTACTAGTTCTCACCAATAAATTATGTGAATAATTAAATTGAACATTTCATGTAATGATACACAATGTCACTTGGACCAATGGTGCTAAAAAGAATAAATAATGCTAGGTAGCCCCATTGAGGTAGTAATCACAGTCTAAGTGGCATTATGAAAGGTGAAATTAAATAAGTAATTTAATTCTACCTATCAATTAATGTCACATTAATACCACCTAAATTGGGATTGCATCCTCAGTGGGCTAAATAACGTTACTCTAAAATATGGGAAAATTACATAATACCCTTCTTATTAAGATCCATTTTCAAAAATAAAATTTGAAAGTTTTCTTTACAAAAATCAGATAATAAATTATTTTTAAAATTTTAAATAATAATATTCTAAAATTAAATTAATCTATCTACCCACTCACCCATCCACTCCTCAGTACCTAAACAATTTTCAAAACAATTTTTCTCTCTCTCTCTCTCTCTCTCTCTCTCTCTCTCTCTCTCTCTCTCTCAGGATAGGAAGGAGCGCCGTGCAACGATGACACCGATGCAGTGCGCGTGAGCGACGTTACTACGACGGTGCTCATGGAACGGCCGTTGCTAGGTCGATTTGGATGGTAGTGCCGCCGATGTTGGCGGGGCGGTATGAATTTTCGATTTGGATGCATTTTTGGGCGATTTGGTGTGAACCTTTGGTGATGGATCTGGTGTGGAAAGAAGGTTTTGGGAGATTTAGTTAAGTAAAACACTCGATTAGTGGATCTAGAGAAATTTGGGTTTATTTCTAATCAACCTCTGTTTTCTTTTCATCCGATTTGTTGTGGGTGTTGAAGTTTGGTGGTGTAGTTGCCATTGTGGTGGTGGTGATTGCTGTGAGGTAAATGTTTGCTAGTGAAGATTGTGGGCGAGTTGTGCCGAGCGGTGATAGGACGATCTGTGGTGTATATGTGCTGTTTTGTGTGTATAGAAACAATTGTTGTGTGGTGGTATGATTAAAGTGGAGGCGGTGGTGATGAAGTAGTGGTGGTCTTTGGTGGTGGTGGTGTTGGTTTGTTTGAGATGGTAGAGATGGGTGGCGGTGCTAGCAGTTATGTGGTGGTCGTATTTTTTTATTGTTATCAGACTGTCTATGACTAGAATTTTGTGTTAACTGTGACTTGGTTATAGATCACAATTCGTTGTTAAGGTCACAATTCACTAGTCACAAGTTCAGTTGACAAGTCGCTGTCATTTTAT